GGAAGGAAGCGCTCCGAGCTGCGCAGGAAGGAAGCGCTCCGAGCTGCTGCTACTCAAACGAACAGTTCTTTAAATTAAATGAGAACATTTAGGTGATGAGAAGATTTGAAGGCACGTTCAGACTAGCCGTTAGCTCATCAGCTCAGCAACAATTAAACAATTTCTCTGCATCTGCAACAGGTAAGATATTATCTGTTCAAAACTTTCTGTTTCCTCCAAGTCCAGAGCCTGAACTTGAGTTTGGTTCTGGTCGTTTCTGGGTTTGGACTCGTGCTGGCGGACGCTGAGATCATCACCTGGATGGGGGAGGGCTTCTCCCAGCCCATCTCAAAGATGCCCATCAGCAGCTCCCTCTTCAGACAATAATCCTCAAACTCGTTGCCCTTGGTGGCTGTGACGTCCTGCAGCAGAGACAGCAGTTAGTCCCACAGAGGACAGAGACATTCTCACCTGAGGACGTTGTTGGACACTCACTGAGGTTTTGACCCTGGTGTCCTTCGGCGGCAGATGGAGGCTTCTTTTCCAGTCGTCTCCGAACTTGATGCCGCCGTCCTGGTTGGCGCCGCCGACTTTCTGCGGAGCGCCCAGAGTCTTTCCTGGAGCCGGGGGCCCGGCCTGGACCGACGCGGACTTGTTTTGTCCTCTGAGCTGCCCGTTCTGCTTGTTCAGTCCCAGGACGAGCGGGCCCACGCTCTCCGCTCGGGTCGTTGACATTTTTACACACTTGTTTTAATTTTCGGTCCTCAAAAATATTTAATTTTTTGCTTCTTAGGTTTTTAATTCTTTAAAAAATATTTTCAAAAGTTAAAAAACAAAATATTTGATAAAGCGTTAATATCTTTTGTGTCCAAAGAAGTGGATCAATATTTACATATAAACACGTGCACGTATGTGCACATCTGTCCTCTTCAACGACAGAGTGACCGACGTGCAAACAACAACAAGAACCAGTTTTTACACGAGAGCTCTTCGAAAAGAAGAGAAACCTGCATTCATACGCAGGAACATTCCCGTCCAGAGTATAGAAAATTATACGTGGACGAGCGTCAACTGGGTCCGGTCCTGAACCAGAACTACGTGGGTCCGGTCCTGAACCAGAACTAAGGCAATCTGCACGTGGACAGCAGCTTCTTCACAACAATCTGTTTCTAGCTCAGTCTGGAAGAGCCGCTGCGTCTTCGGCTCCTGAGGAACAAAACATCCAAACTTTGTACAAGTTCGTCCTCGGAGTCCTGCCGTCCGCTCGTTTCCACGGAGATGATCTGCTGGAGCTAGGAGGTCCTACGAGGGTCTGGGGTCCTACGAGGGTCTGGAGTCCAGAGCAGAGACCCCCACGGTGAGTCTTCGCTGTGCGTCTTCTTTGTGCTGCAGGTGCTAAACTTCCTCGACGGGTTCGGCTCGGTCCGACGTGTGAGAGCGTGGCCTTCGCCCACCTCGCTCCACTAACGAGTCAAACTTCACCTGAAAGAAACCGGACTCGTTAAAAACGAGAGCAGGAAGTTCGTTAAGTTAACACAACCCGTCTCACAGACGCTCAACGAGTCCTTACTCTGTGACCAGACGCCAACTGCCATGTTCCCTACAGAAACAGCCGAAGTGTTTGTTTACCTACAGAAACAGCCGAAGTGTGTTTGTTTACTTACAGAAACAGCCAAAAAGTGTTTGTTTACTTATAGAAACAGCTGAAGTGTGTTTGTTTACCTACAGAAACAACTGAAGTGTGTTTGTTTACGTATGGAAATAGCCGAAGTGTGTTTGTTTACCTACAGAAACAACTGAAGTGTGTTTGTTTACCTACAGAAACAACTGAAGTGTTTGTTTACCTACAGAAACAGCCAAAGTGTGTTTGTTTACATATGGAAACAGCCGAAGTGACTGAAAACAGGCTGAACTTATCAGCCATGTTTGTTACAGACAGCCTAATGTGGGTCAGGCAGCAGCTCCAGCTTCTACGTGACTTGATTCAGCCGTGTGTTTGTTTACACCGAACGCAGACCCTCATATCAATAAATCTGGAACCCTCCCAGAATAACATCAAAGTTCATGCTCAATAATCCATGTACCAGAATAAAAGTGTTCAAACTGCAATATTTGATAAATCGAAAAAAAAATTAAAAAGCAAAAACAACTGGACTTTATTTGTAACTGAAGACGTTTCACTTCTCATCCGGGGAGCTTCCTCACGTCAAAGAACAGAGAGCGTGGGGTTCGAGTTTTCATGCCGAGCTAAAAACACATGCAGATTGACCTCTCACTCCTCACACCAGAGGATCGTTAGGGTCTTTGTTAGTCTGACTCATAGCGGGGCCACTCTTGGTTGGACCGACTGGGTATCAGGCCTAAAGCTGCTTCCATCCATCATCTTTACTCGCTTCTTCCTTTTCGGATCACGGGGGTCACTGGTGCCCATGACCAGCAGTCACTGTGAAAGAGGCGGGGGACACCTGGACATGTCTCCAGTCCATCACAGGGACATAGAGACAATTTAAGGTCATTTTCACACCTGATAGTCCGGTAGACTCGGTTTGGTTGGGGACCAAAATTCAGAACATTTCATTTACATTTCAGCTGGTGCGGTTCTCGTTCGCGCCGCACTGAGGGGGTCGAGCCAACGTGTCCCCCCCCCTCGTCTGTGGGGGCGCTGCACCAAGAACTACTGAAGGAAACGACACGAAGCCTCTGAAGACACTGAGCGCAACTTACTTCTGGAAATGAAAACAAAAATGGAGTGGCGTCAAACCTGAGCGGTTTTAGGATTTCTGTCATTTTTCAACAGTGGACTCGTCATACCAGTTTATTTCTGGAGCGCTACAAGAAGCAGTGGATGAAAACCAAATGTCCAACACCATCAAGAGCAGAAGACGAGGCAGAAGACCGTGGACAATGTTGTTTTTCACACAAGGCGGCTGGCGGCTCCATATGAGGCAAGAGAAATGCACGTTTGTATTTTTGACCTTTTTACCTTTATTTACCCAGAATGCCCTGCGCTGTAGTCCACTTCCTGCTTTTGGAGCGGTCTCTGGTCCACATCAGAGTTGGATTGTGAATTCACACCTCCTTAAAGTTTCTAACCAAACGGACTAGAGTTCGATTAAAGCGGATTAAACAGGGCTGGTGTGAATGCACCCTCAGTTACCATCAGCCTAACATGCGTGTTTTTGGTCTGTGGGAGGAAACTGGAGCACCCGGACAAAACCCACGCATGCACGAGAACTGTCATTTGTAACCCGAGCCCGAAGCCCGGCCTGAATTCAGGCCACTGAGCTACAAAGACCACAACTTTACCAACATCTAAACGCGCCTGAACGCCTCACCAAAAAACACCGACGTTCAGGACGAGTCCACGTTTTAAACAGTTCAGACTTTGTAGATATTTATTTTAATATAAAACTTTCTGAGTCCAAAAGCCATAAAAGTAGATTTTCATTTGTTTTAGACAGATTTCTAGTTTCAGACATGCCGAACTGTGTTCTGTTAGTCTGGTCTCATCCAGCACAACTAAAACCAGTGATGCGTGACGTCACAAATGAAAATCAACATGTAAAACTTGTAAACCGTTTTTAAAACTATCCTGTGTTTAATGAACAGTTTAGTCCAGATGTTACTTTACACAGTTTAAAGTGGACCTGAAGCTGTACAAAAACCAAAATGCTCCTTTTCTGACACGGTTTGGCTTCAAGTCCTGCAGCTCTGCAGGTGAAGCCACCAGGTGTGTTCAGGACAGATTACAGCTGCAGGTGAAGCCACCTGGTGTGTTCAGGGCAGATTACAGCTGCAGGTGAAGCCACCTGGTGTGTTCAGGGCAGATTACAGCTGCAGGTGAAGCCACCTGGTGTGTTCAGGACAGATTACAGCTGCAGGTGAAGCCACCAGGTGTGTTCAGGACAGATTACAGCTGCAGGTGAAGCCACCTGGTGTGTTCAGGACAGATTACAGCTGCAGGTGAAGCCACCTGGTGTG